CTTTTAGTTTCTAAATATTATCTTTTAAAACAAATCTTTTCTTTCTTAGTTGGCTTGTAACGTCCAACTATTTCTTTAATTATTATTTCTTTAAAGTTAGCTTGTAACATCTAACTTCTTCTTTTATTCTTCTATCTTCTTTTTTTTATATCTTATATCTTCTATCTTCTATTATCAGCTTTATGACATGATTTTTCACCAAGTTGTAACGCTTTTTGGGATAGTAAAGTTAAATTTATTAATTTTGCTTCCATTATATTATAAGTCTTATTTTACGAGTCTAACTAATGGAAGAAATAAATAAAGATTTTATTAAGAATAATTTTATAATAAAATGAAAACGATTAAGTTGAGTGAACGTTCCATAGGTTCTATAAATGAAAACACGTCACTATAATTGTTCATGTTGCACTGAAAAGAACGTTTTCTGTGCATATCACTATACGTCGATCGTGAATATCAAAGGTCCGGCTGGTAGTTGTGTAACAGACTTTAAATAGCTCCGAATTTTATAAAATATTTAACGTTAATGTTGATTCCGTGCTATTTATATTAGATACGTATAAAAATATGTATACAGTACGTATTCTACATTTGATTATTATTTTTAATTCCCAACCCGTCTTGATTCGCATTTGATTTTTATTACTGTATTAAGTAATGAATTTACTGTATTTTTTTTAAAAAGCAAGACTTTGTCTCAGGATGTGATTGGATAGGGATCGGAGATCGTGCACAAGCATTACAAATAATCCTTATAGCAATTTGCGTTCTCGAGTAGTAATTTTGAAAGTGATCGAGATGTTGCTCAATAAATGGCTAAAAATTCATTGTGCAAATTGCGGATTTTAAAATTTTAGTCAATCAGAGTAAACTCTAGGAAAAAAAAAAGAATAACCAGAACGATATTTCAGTTGCGGCTTTTTTCACTTTGCGTTTGGAGATTAGCAAGTTGGTTGGTTTGGTCAGCAATAGTGGTTTGTTGGGTAGTGATTTGGTTACGCAAATTTGCGGAGTTGGTAGTGTCAGTTTCTAATTTAGTTATGTGGTCTGCACCTCCATATTTTATTAATCGAATTAGTCGAAATGATAGC